GATTGGTCACTGCTGACATACGTTGTTCAGGCTACCATTGTTTTGCTCCAGGTACCGGCTCTAAGGCCCTAGGACCTCAAGTCATTTTTGGGTATATTTAAAAAATTGAAATTGTTTAGCTGTCTGCATTTATGCTACACATGTTTTACCAAGTTTCTAGTACCTAATTAAAATAATTATGTCAGCAAAAAGTCCAGAAATTTTAGTCTACATAAGGCAGACATGTCAAACTCGCAATGTCACGTGACATCGTGCAACATATCGGAGCTTTTTCCTCATTGCCAGCAATGGGGTGGGTGCGGTTTTGTCGTGACACATCCAGCCCACGGACTGGCAGTTTGACACCCCTGACATAAGGCTTCAAAACAAAACATCTAAGCAGTGGTTTTAAAGGTCAGCCAATACCAAGCATAGAAACTTTTTTCATATTTGATATCAAGTCTATCAGCTTTTGAGAAAATGATTAAAGAAGAAAGCATGGGATGAGCACATAAAGATTGTAGGAAGGGACCGAAGTTCTGTTTTAGTGCCTGATTATGCGGGGAAATTATTTTGGTGCCTGATTATGTGGGGAAATTATAAAATAAAATAAAATAAAATGGAAACCTTATGGATAGTGATGCAGTTTGAGTGTGATAGTGCATGCACTGTGAACTGTTCCTGAACGACAAAGAAGGAAAAAAGATTATTTCCTCTTGCATACAATGCTAACAGAATAATCTTTTTTCTGGCCTTTGGATTGTTGCCATCTATTGCTTTGCAGGCTTTTTTCCTAATAAATATTCATAATAGATACCCACACATCACTATGAACAGAATTTCCCCTTATTAAAACCTTCATCACTCAAGTCTTTGAAACTGAATCCACCATATGTACACCACCATGTCATTCTGCTTAAATAGCCCTTTCATTCATCCAAATTGTTAGGATACTGAGCTACTTTGGAACACAATTAGATTTGCACTCTAGTGCTTTGAGATTGATTGTAAGCTTTAATAATGTATGGACTTAAAAAATGTTCTCAGTGCTATAATCCCAGTATTTTTGCTTCATGCTGAATAAGATATTAAATGGCCATTCAAATATGGCTAAAACTATATTTCATGCATAAGCAGTTTCAGTTCCACTCTTCTGATTTCCTTTGTCTCTTAGAAGAGAGAAAAAAGTAGAAGAAAAAAACTATCACTTCTGATAATAGTACAGAATCTGTTGCTTTTCTCTGTTTCTGTTCTCACTGTTTGTTTCTTAACAAAGCTACTGTCAGCTGAATTTAAATCAGAACTTTAATAACTGTCAACCGCAGCAGATGTAGGTGAGATGTTGAAATGAATAAGTAGCCCATGCCAGCTTACAATGGATCTCTAATTCTAGATGATTTTATTTTTATCCAAAAAGTCTGAAGTACATCTCATAGGAGAGAGGGTCCATATTCAGGATTTTTTTGCTCTCTGACCCATATTCTATCAACACAATGATGTATCTTTAAGATCACAGTGATTTAAAAGAAGTTCTTGGATGGGCCATAGCTTGAACTGGTTGAGATCCATGGAATAATAATAGCAGTATATATTTAAGGTGAATGTTTTTTACCCAGTGGGAAAAGTATTTTTTCCCTAAATTCAAGTGCTAAGTATGAGCAAAACATAAGTAGAATATAATATAGTGGTTTGTCTGGACATAATACTTAAACTTATGATTTAACTATTGATCTCTGAAAGAAATACAGAACTAAATGTAGAACGTAGTTATTAATAATATAGTTAGATTTGATAAGGACTACGATGTATGATAGGAATTACTACTTTTTCTAATGATCTAGAATAGCTCAGAAGCTTCCTGTGTCTATTTTTTTTCTCCAGTATTTTCAATAACCTAGATAGTAATTTGTACATTTATTACACTATTCTGATCAGGAGAATGAGCACTGCAATCCCAGTAAATTGATTTACTCGAGGGCTAGTACGGTGGGTTTTTTCCCTTTTACTGAACATTATATATTTTATTTAGATTTCACTTAAGACAAGCTTTTTCATAGACAGGTGAAAACTATTTTGATTGATGCTTCAGAGTTCTGAAAAGAATTAACATCAGAGTCCTCTCTTTCTGAAAAATCTTACACTGTATTTTCATTTACTGAATTCCAAGATGTTTTCATATGCCATCTAACCAAATGATCAAATAATAATAATATAAAGAACTAGGCAACTTTGTCAATATAGCTGCAGAAGAGCGAATACAGGTAGTTCTTGACTTACAACAATTCATTTAGTGACTGTTCGAAATTACGGCACTGAAAAAAGTGACTGATGATCATTTTTCACACTTATGACCATTGAAGCATCTTCATGGTCACGTGATCAAAATTCAGTTGCTTGGCATCTGACTCATATTTATGACGGTTGCAGTGTCCTGGGTCATATGATCACATTTTGCAGCCTTCTAACAAGCAAAGTGAATGGGGAAGCCAGATTCACTTAACAACCATGTTATTAATGTAACAATTGCAGTGATTCACTTAACAACTGTGGCAAGAAAAGTCGTAAAATGGGGCAAAACTCAACAAATATCTCACTTAGCAACTGAAATGTTGGGGTCAATTGTGGTGGTAAGTCGAAGAATATCTGTAATGTGGGCATGATTTATCTATTGTATAAATCATCTAGAAATGTTGTAAATACCGATACTGTACTCTCTCATGTAAAGTTATTAAGGCTTTTGTAAAATGGGAAAACTAGGCCCCAGACCCAAAGCAACTTGCTAGCATAACTGATTTCTGTTTTTGTTCCCTTTTATCTGGTGCCCTCACCTCTGAATGTTCTTTTGGCTATCACTAATACAGCAGGACAATTGTCTATGGAGATTCTCAATCATCCAGGTCATAGTTGTCCCAAAGGCAATTGGAGTTTCTTGTCTTTCTTGAAAATATTTTGCTTCTCACCCAGAACTGAAGAAGCTTCTTGGATGAGAAGTGAAATGTTTTCAAGGGAAAAAAACCAAGAAAATGCAGTTGCCTTTTGAAAAGCATCCTTAGCACAGAAGGAAAGTATTTCTCAGCCTTAGCAAGTTTAAGATGTGTAGAAGTCAACTTCCAGAATTCCCTCAGCCAGCAAATCCACACATCTTAAATTTCCTGAGGTTGAGAAAAACTACACCAGGATAAACAGTGGTACCTCAGTTTAGATGTAATTGTTTACTGGGTATTACTGGTTTTATATGGTGTTCTTAAAAGTGAAAAAATAAAACAAGTTACAATTCAGAATAGTATAGAGAAGTGTATCTAGAAATGATCTTAGTATTTGGTTTGGATTGTATGACCATCCAACTGAAGATGGCAATTAATCATTGCCATTAACCATTGATTTTGAGCATTGGTGTATTGTTGAAATATGCTGTTGATTCATATAGAGGCTGTTTGTTTTTCTCAAATTCATTCCTTGTCCTCATTTTTTATTCACTTGCATAAAAATCCCCCAGTAACTGTTCATTTTATTTTTAATGGTAACATTTTTAGCCTATTTTGTTATTACTAAAAACAATTTTAGTAAGAAGACCTGGCTCTGCTTGGGGCCCTAATGGGAGTACCACACTGGAGGTGGTTGATCAACTACTAGCAGCTCCCCCCTCCCCCTCCTATACATGCTGCTCCTTTCCTCCCTATCTTTTGGTCTTAGTTATAATCTGTATTTTCATAATCTGTATTTTTATTGTGATTTTATACATTGGTATATCTACTTACAGCTTCATTTGGTGTTGTAAGCCACTCAGAGTCACCTTGCAACGAGATTGGCAGCAAACAAGTTTAATAAATAAATTTCCAATTTATAAAGGCAGATACCTAGGCCCAAAATGCTTCCATTCCCCTTGCAATTTATATGGAAATCGTGTAGATTTAAAATGGCATCTATGGTTCTTCATTTCATGTTCCCATAGGAACAAAATGTCATTTCTCATCTTTCTCAGAATGAAATAGAATCACATAGCAAAACCCTGCCAGGGAAACCAGCAGCCTGGAACTTGAAACCACTGCCGACTTTCTCACTTGTAGCAGCAGATGGGAGTGAGAATTGGAACAAAAAAGTTAGACTTGTGGAAGATGATGTTCATAGGCTGAAAGCACTCTAGATCCCAGGTGTAAGCACAGGGAACTGACAAATGGATGCAACATGTTCCAAATGTCATTTGTCAAAACTTGCTCAACTTCTGTCATACCCAGCACTTTGGTGTTTCTTTTCATTGTTTTTTTGCAGCTCTTGGTCTCAGATAATTAATTTGTGTCATGCTCCATTTTAAATCAATAACCCATGAAAACAAATCCTAGGGATTAACCTTAAAGAGACCCTGGAGATTTTTTCTTGTAATGTATTGTGCTTTTCAATGATATGGAGGATAAGGGATAAATAGCACTAATGAATGTATATTATTGGATGGCAAATATAAATGGATACTTCTGGCTGAAAGGCTTTGACACTATGATTCTGGAGAGGTAGAAACCTCTGGACATGTCTTTCTTTGCTGGTCTTTTTATGGTGACATTTGAACAAAATTTATTTTCCTGATAATTAATAGGTATCTTGTTCATTCTGACACAGTTTTTCTTCAGTAGTTGCTTAAAGACGAAGAGATGGTAGTCACAGTGCAGGTAGCTAGATTCTGTGCAGCAGCACTACAACTTTGCCAAAACCTGATGAATTATAACTATTTTATTCAATTAATGCACTAAATCTTTTGATATTATCACCCTGTTGTACTTTAGTACCTAATAACTATAGGCCTTCACAATTTAAGGATTAATATTACATTATAGCTTAGGCTGTTTTCTTATTTAGTGCAACTGATAAATAGACTGCCAAATTATGATTTCAACATAGATTTGTTGTTTGTTGCTGTTTTATTCTGACTGGATACACTTTGAGCATTTTAATTGTACTGGTCTTTGACTGTAATAAATATTTGATTGATTGATTGATTGATTATATATTATCTTATCCTTTAAAACTAGAAAATGACAGATGGAGAGATCTCAGCAGGAAATACCCCCTTCAGGTCGAACAGCCAAGTGCCAACATTTGGGACTGCTTGTCTGACAAAAGCGATGAAAGCTCCTTATGGCAGAGAGAGCCAGCTAACGCATGCTCAGTAACCAACTTGATCAAGGATCTCAGCCTTAGTGACCGTAATGGCAACCCTTCAGCACCTCCCAGCAAACGCCAGTGCCGATCACTCTCTTTTTCCGATGAGATGTCCAGTTGCCGGGCTTCATGGAGGCCCATTGGATCAAAGGTCTGGACTCCTGTAGAAAAGAGACGCTGCTATAGCGGGGGAAGCGTGCAGCGTTACTCCAATGGATTCACAACCATGCAGAGAAGTTCAAGCTTTAGCCTTCCTTCCAGGTCATGTACTCTCTCCTCATCATATGACCAGATGGGATTTAGCAATAGATTTGGGTGTCAGCCATGCCAAGGAATGCAAAAGTCAGCCACTTATGGACAGACAAGTGATATTTGGGGTAGTGATCATTGCTCTTCTGAGAGTGGTAGGGTTGACATCCAGCGATCTCTCTCTTGTTCCCATGATCAAATTTCCTTTTCGGAAAATTGTCTGCCCTCAGCAAACAGCACACCTGCCTCAACACCAGAGTTGACAAGGCGCTCCAATGGGCTTTCTCGAAGTCGGTCTCAACCATGTGTCCTTAATGACAAGAAAGTTGGAATTAAGCGAAGACGACCTGAAGAGATAAAGGAACAAAGACCTTCATTGGACCTTGTCAAGATGACACAGGTAAGAATTTATTATCTCACACCAGGAATAGCATGGTTAGACCTGACATTTACAGAACAACTAAGGGATTTGTTTATGCATAGAAGTCTGCACTGTGTTGACATTGTTAGCAATAAAACTCAAACTAGTTTTACTTCTTTACCTAATTCCACATCTTCTTTCTGTGCATGGGTCAAAATTCACGGTTACTGTAATTAATATTTACTCTAACTCCCCCATTTGAAGACTATTTTCATTTTTATTCAGAACAATGTTCTTCAGCAACTTAATTCACTTTACAATGTAACTTTTAAATAAATTTAACATTTCTTACAATTCAGCATTATCAAAACTGAGTTGTTTTCCTCTCGGAAGAAAGATATTGGCAATATTTTTTGACCATATATAAAACTGCTGAAGAGTTGCTTATATACTGTGGAAAGTGGAGGAAACCTCAAAGGCACCAGTGTTCACCTATTTTCTGTTTTGAATTCTCTAAACTAGGGAATTCATTGTCTAATGAGCTTTGACTTCAGAGTCACAACTTTTGTAATTTTCCACTTTGTTATTGCTCTTCTCTTCAGCAGCAGTACTTTCCTGTTCACTCACGAATCCAAAGAGCTGAACAGATAAGCGATCTGAACTATATATCAGAGGATGTGACACCCATACATTTTTACTTTTAGTGAATACTTGAAAAAAAATAGTTTTAAAAAAGTGTGTGCTGCCTGACTGAGCTGTAAGAGCTCTTAAAGCATGCCAAGTCCCTTTTATTCTCGTATCTAATAACTAAAGCGTTATGATTCAGCCGTTCTGTTGTCATTAATTTTATAAGCTTATGCTACTTAATAAAATATCAGCAACTTTTGTATAGTCCAGAGATAAATCAGGCATGAAAAGTAGCTTCCCACCAGCAGTGCATTAATTTTGCCTTTGTATCAGAATTCCAGTTTTGCTACCATGACATGTTTATGCCCTGACCCCCATAGTCATAAGGCTGGAAACACTGCCTATAGGCATGTAAAACAGCCGTATATCTCCAGGAGGCTTTGGTCTTAACTGCTTTGAATTATATATCATTTTGGTATTTCTTCCAAATAAAATATGCTCACTAAATGTTCCTATAGTTTTGTTAAGAGCATATTTCTTCACCAAGTGCTCCTTTTTGTTTTTTGGTTTTATTCCCCTTTACTTTATCTGATTGAAATATCCCTTGATGGAAGGAACTTTTCTCACCTCCTTTCTGTGATGTATTTTATATACCCTTGGCTGATTGAAAAAGTTGATCTGCTTTTGTTTAAACTTTTTATTCCCTAATGAAGTTTGGTACGTAAATAAAAAGGGTAAAGAAATAACATGCATGGGTGACTTCAGAGGCAAATATTACTTTAAACTGCTTTGGAATTAATTCCTGCTTGAAAATGTGTGAACTGTAATATGCTAATTTACTTTTATTAGCCAATAAACTAGATAAGTAGTAAGTTGAAATTCTACTACTTGGACTTCCCAGAAGCTTTTTACTCTCTTGTACTTGCAGTAATCTTTAAAAAAATATAGTTCTTTGTGTCTATATCCAGGAATGTTTGGGTATTCAAGGAAGTAGGAGCCAGAAAAGGGATCTCTAAATAAAACACATTTTTCTATTGCTTAATTCTTTTTAACCAGCAGGGCTTTAAATATATCTTGCACATATTCAGCAGAGCATAGGGGACTTTCAATTGCTTTATTGGGATAAGAAGATTAAGATTAAGAGTGAAAAAGTATGCCTTTGAAGTTGCTCTGGGATAGGAAAATGTACAACAAAACCCATATATTACCAAGAAAGAATAAAGGTAAGACAGTGATAAACTTGATCTGCTGTTATATTTACCTCCAAGAAGATTGCTAGAACTATAAGGTAAATATTCTGTATAGATCTAATCTGCAAATTGAACTTAGATCCCAGTGTTGTCAGTGAGATAATTTAAACAATGTTGGTATCAAAGGAAGAACAAAGTTTACAAAAAGGCACTCTAATCCCAATTATTTAAGCCTCTCAGAATCATTGATAATTTAAATGACTTTCTCAAGTGTCAGTGTAGGTTTCCTTAAAGAAATCAGCAAATTTATCTTACTCTTCATATATTGAACCAGCAACCTTAACATTGCTTTATAGTTTAGCAGCTATGAGTCAGTTCATGTCCTTTGGTCATGTGTTTAAAGTCTCTCTTTCTCTCTCTCTCTCTGTTAATTAAAATGTAGTCAGTGACTGGACAAGTTTAAACCTTATTCCGACCAGTTAATTGCTTTAACATTTTTATTTTATTTTCTATAGAGCTGCATTATTTGATTGAGCAAACATATATAGAAAGATATAGCCATCCTTTTGTATCCATGTTATTTTGATCAAATGCAGAGCTACCTTTTGTGCATTTCATTTAAAACAATGGCAATAAACACTTCATGTTTTTCTTACCTCTTGAATATGTAAATTTAAGTCAAATTTAATCATTCAAGATAGAAATACTTCCAAATAATGGACCATTCATGGTTTAAAGTTGGATAAACCGAGAATAATGAATAGTTGCATTTATTTACTCTTAAAGCTTGGATCATAGCTTGTGGATACTTCTTATCCAAAGACTCCTTTGTGCCAGTTAAATCTGTGGTGATAGATAATATTTTCCCAGGTTTGGATAATTTTAGCCATAATTAGCTAGAACTCTTCTCGATTAAATAAGAATTTAATCTTAATTTATTTCTATTCATGCCTGATATAGTTCCAGGTTTAAACGTTACAATGTCCGATTGTAGGATATATTAATTGATGCAGAATGACATTTTTTTTCTGAAATTTCTCATGAACTGGAGGTTTTATTCTGTAAGTACAGCTTATTTTTACATGTAAATGTCTATGTTGTCTTTTCTACTGGTAGAAAATTATATGCATGTTTTAATATTGCTGTCAAAATTTATTCAGGATCCAGTCAAACTTTCCTGTAGCAAAAGTTGATAATTTGAAACAGAATTTGATAATATAACATGAGCTTTCTTGTAGTTATAGAACTGTAGTTCAGCTTAAATTGTTTTAATAAATCAAAACTAAGTTCAAATTGTTTTATAAATTTAGATAGTCTCTAAATTAATTTTGTGTCCTGGATATCAAAGTCTAAAATATTTTTAATATGGTTATAATAAAGAATTTATTTGATTGCTAAAATATCTTTATAATATTCCTACTTTATCCTGAATATTCATATAGTTAGAAGAACAATCTTGTGTGCCTTCGAGTATGTAAAATGGCTAAATGAGAAAAGTAGCATTTTCACACTTTAAGTACATTTTCTTTTAAGGGTGCCTCCAAACATTGATGGGGTACTCACTATATCTGACAGTGATGCAGAGCAACACAATATGTTCTGCTGTACAGCAAGATTCCTACTGTGCAAAACAATACAAGATCTCATCTACCCCAGCATTGAAGTTAACCATTTCTGTTGTGTGGGTCCTTGTGTGATCTTAACCATCTGGATGAAAGAACTAAATTAATTGGTCCCAAATGGCAAATCAGAGATCTAAAAACATCTTGATGGAATATTACAAGAAGGCATTCAGGCAAAGCAAGCTCCCATGTAATTGTAATTGTGATCAGTCTTTTTCATGATATGCTGGTTTTAATGAATGGAAGAAAAGGGAGAGAAAAACCAAACCAACCCCCCCATAAAACCATGGTCATATTCTCCTAACTGGCCTTCAAAGTTATGGCCATCACAGCACTCCTGAGGTTATGTGATCACAATTCAGGCAATTGGTGGCCACCCCCACATACAACAGCTGCAGCATATTGTGGTGCTGTGATTCCCATTTGCAACCTTCTCTGTTGGCTTCCTACAAGCAATGGGAAAACTAGCAAGGAGGTCATACGTCATGCCAATAAGTTACTGGTTTTTGTCCTGGACCCCATCTCAATGCACCTACCCACATGCCTGCTGCTTATACTGCGCTACAGTATCTCCTCCCCCTCCCACATTCCATAGCATCCACCTACTTGTCAGCTTGATTTCAAGTTGCCTAAGGAAAAGCTTGTTGTGACCAGGACTTGCAGCCTCACTGGCTTTGCTTGTGGGAAGTTGGCAAGAATTCAGTCATATGAAGTCTTCACATAATGACAGCAATCCTCACTTAACAGTGGCAATGGGGACTGCTGGGATTGCTGTTGCTAAATGATATGGTTACATGACATTGCATTTTACAGGTTGTGAGACTATATTTTTATGCTAATACTGAGACTGAGTGTCCAAACTACAACCCAAAACCCACTTATGCATCATCGAGTGCTGGCTGGGTGTGGCCAATTGGGTGAGCGTGGCTGCGGTGATAATGGCAGACTGGGTAGGACTAAAAAGTTCAATCAATCAATTCCAACTTTGCAAGATCTTTTTTTTCCTGCGAGAAGTTAAAATTGACTGATTGAACCTTTTTTTTTTTTTGGTGGCAGAGGCCTAAAGCGAAAAGATTTTATAAAACCCAGCTGAAGGCCTAGGACTGGGGTGACGGTATGTGTGCCCACAGAGAGGGCTCTGGCACCCGTGCCATAGGTTCACCACCACTGTGCTAATACATACATACATCAGACTGCTGGATCTGTTCCCCAGAATCTGTCCATTGTTAGAGAGAGAGAGAGAGAGAGAGATATGACAGAGATGTTTCCTGAGAGAAAAGGCATTGGTAGTGATAGTCAAACCAATAGATTCTTGGCTGATAATGGGATTTATGTTTTAACTCTGAAGAACAAAAGAGTTAGAAATTACTGAGTTGGTTTTTCTTCTCTATTTTTTTTAAAAAATAATTACATTCACCAAAAATGTGACCCAAAACATAAAAATGATATTAAAGGTTAGGTATGTTTACCCCGTCCAGTTTTTTTCCCACTGCCTGGACACTAATAGAATTGCCTTTATGAAAAACTGCATTATTGTGCAAGGACATTAGATACATATTGATGCAGTGAAAATTCATACAACAGTGAACTGGTATATTTG